CCGCCCGCCTTCGGTCCCTCAACAGCCTGGGACGGAGCCCCTGCCCCTCCCCCGCGGTCTGCGCCTCCGGGGCTGCGGATCGCCCCCGGCACCAGCCCCGGCTGCGGCCGCCCCTCCTCCGCTGCCCTACTTCCCTCCGCACCTCCTCGACAGCCCCCCTGCCCAGCCCCTGCCGCAGTCTGGTGTCTCGGCCGCGCCCAGACCCGAAGCCGTTCGGCGTAACGCGCAGGGCGCTGTTGCAAAATGGACACTGAGGGCTCAGTGGCGGGCGCGGATCGCGCTCTCAGCCCGTAAGCAAAATGGCGGCTGTTTGGCTTCGCCTTGGTAACCCAGCCCCTGCCAGGCGGGGCTGGTGAGCCCCGTGCAGGGGGAGGGAGGGGAGAGCGGACGCCATTTTCCCAGAGAGAGCCAGTGACATAGAAGGGAGCGTAGGAGGCTGAAAGGAGGGAGACACGGGAGCAGCGGCGGCAGCGGGGTTTGTACACAGGTCCCAAGGCAAAGGCGCTTCCGAGCTGGTCCCTGTAGGGTTCTGTGCACTGAGCTAGGTTTGGGGGGAGGGGGGGTCTCCTCTTTCCTTTCTTTCCCTTTTCTTTCTTTTACCAGAGCCTGCTGAGGGTTGAGTCCTGCCTAGGGTAGGGATATCCGCAGTGGGGCTGTTGCATTGTTTTGGTTGGGATAGAGAAGGGGCTCAGCTGAGGGGTGCTGCTGCCTGGCCTGTGACCATTACAGGTGAGTCTTCGGTTATTACCAGCGTATTCTGCTGTGGGTGCTCTGGGGAGGGGGGTGGCAAAAAGGGAGCGAAATGCGACGGGAACGTCTCGTTACCCCCGGTGCGAGTGTAACTCCCTCCCACCTTGAAATGTGTTTAAATGCTGTTTAAGTTGTCTTGATTTTGTTTTGCCTTTTGTGGGGTTTGGTTAAAAAATGGCAGGCTGTCGCTATATCTTGTGAATATGGCGGGTTACTGTAACTGGAGGAGCTGAGGAGAATTTTTTGGCAGTTATGCCAGATTTATGCATTATGCTTGGAAAAAGAGCTAAAGGGGGCTATTATGTGACAACATACGCTTCCTTAGACTGGTGGTTCTAAGAACGGGTTTGTGTGTTATTGGGACTGCGTATTGAGTTCTATGAAGCTGGGGAAAGCCTATTCTCTTCCTCCATCCTGTATATTTTTGCTTTGTGGTACTAAAATGGCTCGTTATAGGCCTAATCTCTCTGCCTTCCACACCCCCGCCTCCTTTCCTCCCTCCCTGCTAATATCTCCGCTTCGTGGTGTAACCTGGACAAACGGAAAGCAGTCCTCAGGAGTTTCTCTGCCAATTTAAAAAGGGGATCATTCTCTCCACCCCCTTTCTTGAGGGTGTAAGTAGTTATATTGGTGCATCCCTTTCTTGCTTTAGTTTCTGCAGCCAGCCTTCGTGTTCCCTGGGTGGCATATCTCAGTCTTTTTCTTCAAGAAATAAATGTCGGTGGGGTAGACCCTATTGCTGCAGACATAGGGGAGGAGAAACAAACGGTTCACTGTGTAGTACTAAATAGGGTAGAGAAACATAATATAGCCTGATTATAAAGGTTCTGTATTCCCCCATACTCAGCCATTAGGGAATGTGCGGTGGCTGAAAGCCCTGAGGTCCCTAAAATGGTACATACTACGTGTCGTTAAAAGCAGAAGTTTGGCGCTTCATCTAGATTTAGGAATGTTTTAGTCTGTTTATTTACAGTACCTTAAAGGAATAATAACGAAACATTTTTGTTATTCAGGGCTCAGATCAGAGAAAAAAAGGAGATATCCGTGGCTGTACTTATAATGCATGATTAATTGATTATAATCACTGTACTTTTAAAGTTACTTTTCAAAAAATGTGGAGCAAATTTTTTAATTTCCCTCTTTTGTCCTTTAGAGATTCTAAAAATGGCGGCCTCAGGCTGATGTTGTGGTAATCTAATCAGCTCGGGTCCTCCACACCCCATGCAGTGCGTTTGTCTGCAGCATATTAGAGTCTTATTATGTTTAAATGAAAAGACTGTTCCCTTCAAATAACGTACAAAACATCTCTTGGCTTTACTGCGATTTAAAAATGCTGTGTTCCAGCTGATTAATTTTATTGGTTATGTGTGTGAAAGGCAAGTGAACGAGACCACTCTTGTCGGGGAAAAGGGGGGTGGAAAGAGGCAACAGACTCAAGCAGCTTCTTTGAGGGGTGTGTATAGGTTGCTGTGAGGTAGTATGTGTGTCGATTTAGTAATTTGGAAAAGCTCCTGAGTTTGTGATGGAAACTGTGTATCTGTCCACCCCACTAACGACATAAAAGCGGTAATATTTATCAAAATGAGTAGTGGATTAAGATCGCTGAAACGGTCAGCTAAATTCTTTGTGGAATCACATTAGTGAACGTCATGTTCACCTTCCAGTAAATACCTTTGCTGGATATCGGGGTTCTAATTCCATGTATTCATCGTTTGAGAGTAATGAAAGAACTTAATACTTGTGGAAATAATGCATGTGAGTTTATAACCTGTTACTTTATTAAGACGCGGAATTTCTTCTGCCACCATGTAATCTTGATATTATGTTTTTTGTTCAATTTATTTTGTATGCTGCTTTATAAATTGTGTATGTAGTAATACACATACAAATACTGAGGAAAAGTGCAGTTCCTAACCTCTAATTTTTTTCCTAAATGAAATATGAACCTTTTAGTATCACCACTATAAATATGTTTGGGTGGGGGGAAGGGAGGTCACAAGGATTTATTATTTGGTAGTTGGTGTAGTGTACTCTGATACAAACTATGGAGGCTGCAAACTGTATGTTTTAAAAGACAGAAAAAAATTAGTTAATTTGTCACTTTTTTTGTATGCTTGTCTTTAATCTTGTCCTTGGTTTAATGAGGTATAAATTCTAGTATAGCTTTGGAACCTTCTGGATTTAAACAATCCAAAGTGAGGTATTGAAATGGCAAAACTGTCTCTAATCTCTGAACAATTTTAATTTAGATACCGTGTAGAAGCACTGATGTGTGGTTTAAGGTATACCTGAAGCTGAACAATGAGATAGTAAGACTTTGAGTGTTGTTAATGCATGCCTTTCCCATGTTTTGAGGCCAAACACTGAGTGATTTCAACCACCAAGTGATACGTTAATAGTCCAGTAATGCATGCTCCCATCATATCTTCCTCTTTATATAAATTTGATTCTTATAATAAACCACATTTTACTCTGTTGATTAAAAAGTACATGAATAAGATTCTAAGGAGTGTAAGTATGGGCCTTTTTGGAAACCTTTTGCCTTTTTCTTTCCTCTCCCTAGGTTTAAAGCTCCTGATCTTGTGAAAATTTTTTTTAACATCATGACTTAAAGGGCTACGCAGCTCTGCAGTCTAACTTCATGGCCTCAGTCATGTTCTCAAGCAGACATCCGATTCAAGATTAAGATTAAAATAAAATAAATTTGTAAACTTTACAAAAAGTGGTTTTTTGGGCTAAAATGAAATAAACCCAAAGATTGAAATATTCATACTGAAATTTTACAGCTTGCATTCTAGATTGTGAATTTATGCATGAAGAACCTCTTGGGAATTTTGAAATCTTCCAGAGTTTTCCTTTGTGAGTTTTAGTGAGTCAGTTTGCCAATGTGACTCAGTTTCTCCATCTGTAAAAACAGATCTGTGATCTAAGTAGACAAAAGGAAATTCAACGTTTTTTCTTTTTTTTAAACTTCATTGATAGTGATATGTTAAAGCATATTCATTAAAAAATGGAATACCCCTCCCCCCAAGTAATAAAAACTTCTTGAAAGAGGGAAGGTTTTAAATCTAAATCTACTTTTTTAAGAGACATGTATGATTTACAAATATTGTGTTATAAATGCAAGAATATGGACTGCAGTTCTAAAACCATTTATGTATATTCAAGCTTTTCATATCTAAAGGAAAAAATCTGCTTAACTGTCACTTAGCCTTTTGGGTGAGCTCACTTTTGGGTGAGCTTCTTTGCCATCTGGGAAATTTCAGAGGGGAAACAATGCTGGTTTTTTAGACTATAGCTAGGGAAAGTTTCTCATAGCACCAAAATTCAGATTACTTTTAGAAGTTGCATTACCTCATGTCTTTGGTACAGTTTCAGCACACACACAAATCATAACATTCAGTTGGAAAGAAACAGGAATACAGAAATCGGTGTCACAGGGAAGGCTATAGTGTCTCTCTACTCCTGATCTCAGGTTGATTTAAGCACAGTCTTAATTTTGCGTGCTAGCTAATACTAATTTTAGTAAGAACTATTTGTGGCACTTAGTTAAGGAGTGGTGTATGTAATTGTAGAATCGTGGTATTGTTCTAAATAGATTAATGTAAATGAAGATTTAATGAAGGTATTTTACTGGTGTTGTGTAACATTAACAAAATTGTAGGGGGGGTGTGATAGATTGGTGAAGATATAAAACCCCATTCAGACTTCTGGAGGGATCCTGAGGAAGTCCGTTTGTTATTGGCCTTGTGACTTCCATACAAACAAGCATTTGTGAATCTCTCAAAAGCAAATTTTATTGGACAGTGTTTTTGGAACAGGTACAGTGTTCAAATGTTTCCACTGTGCAAATAGTAGTTTTGATTTATTGCTAAGAATGAAACTTGAGGCATCTATGGGGAAAAAAAATAGAAATTTACCATGTGTAGGATGTGGATTAAGAAAAAAACCACCCTTTTTATTCTTCTAAATTCTGAATTATTTAAAATATTAACTGCAGTGGGCTTTTGAATGGTGCAAGATGAGTATTTCTAAGCACATCAGCGTTCACATTTTCTTACTAACCAAAGATTCATACCCACAAAAGTTAACATAATCTCTTTGAGGATCCAAAATTCTGCTCGTGACCTTGATAATACAAAAAAAGCCTCCTATAGTTCTGTTCAAAGACAAAACTCTTGTTACCTTTAAGGCATAACAAATGAGTTATTTAAAAGAAACCTTGTCAAGGCTTCATATGCTTGCTAGGAGATACTGAGATTATTTTTATTTCCTCCTACAAATCTTAATATATTAATGTGGTGTTAATTAAACAGGCAAGATTTTAAGTTCTGCTGGTTGTTAGAAAATTTTAATAATTATCTGTAAAACTTTGAAGATAGTTTTGTTGTACAAATTATATTTTTTAACAGGCTTGACTTAAATGCTTTCTTATCTTTATTTTTTAAAATTAAAATATTTGTTAAGAACTATGATAAATCCCAGTGTCCACTCAAGTTACGTGTTTCAAAAGTAAAAATGAAGAATATATTGAAGTATCACACAGACTGCATCCTGAGCAAGTAAAATGTGTGTTAGTTTTGCATATTTTGTTCAAAGAGTGCTGTCTCTTCTTTCATGTGATAGTTAATATGCTCCTTAGATGGAGATGCAGTATGGTAAAACTTAGATGAGACTTGCAAGGGCCCAGCAGTTTTGCAAATCAGGCTAAGTATGGGAATGCCAAAATAGTGTTAATCCTAGTTTTAGAATTTGTTTAAGTTAACGTTTTCATTAGGTGTAGATGTTAAAATGTTACAATGCAGGCTTAGGTCTAAAAAAGCTTTTTTTAAACTTTATTTTGTTCTCATTTGTATTTGTGTTTTGTGTGTTGCTTTATGGCATCGTAGACTAGGTAATCATTCACTTTTATATCTCTATCTCAAAAATAAATAGCCATCAAGTTCAAAGACAAGATGATAAGACTAGATTTTAATGACATTATTGTACTGTACACTACAGCTTAAGGAGGAGGACCATAATCTATTGTTCATTGTTGATTATTTCATCAGTCACAGAAAGTGATGAAATTAATATCCTATCTTTACAAAGTGAGAATTCAAAATGTATACAGGTTGGTAGGTTTGGATCTTTTACCATAAGGAGCTCTGAATATTTAAATTAGTTTGGTGTTCATTACTCTTTAACTCTTCTAACTTGACAAGGTCTAAAGATACTTTTTTTCTTTACCAGTGGGTGATGTTCTTAACTTGCCTTGAGTAGACAAAAGGAGCTAACTCCTAATTAGTATAGTTAGAATGGGGCTGTGTTTAAAACCGTATCACAAGACAGATGATATTCCAAGTCTAGACAGTTAATCCTGTCTTAACTCTTGGTTTAAAGAAACTTTTCCAATGAGGAATGTTTTTAGTAGGTTCTACTTAAACTGAAGGTGAGGACTTGAACTACAGCAACTTATTTGTAGCTTTTGGGGAAGGTATAGAGAGATTATGTCTCTCATTTGGTTTCTAAACCTATCATTTTAGAACTGTGAAAGAAACATAAATAATTTTATAGAAAACTGATAAAAATACAATATTTTTTTTACTGCTTGTAAGGATAAGATTCCTACCTCAGATACTTTACCAGGTAATACAGCTAATTTTGCTTAGGGTAGAAACAGTTGATAGGAGTCTTATTCTTAAATAACATTATGCAGGTATTTTATGAATGTAGTGGTTTTATATAATGTTCATTCTCTGCTGTCTCTTGCTTCGCAATCACGTCTTCTGTACTAGAAGAAATTAAAGACAAACTCTGCATCTCTTTTTCTTTTTTCCCCCCTTCTGTGTGGCAGCGGTATTGAAAGCTAAAAGCTGTGTTTTGTGTTTCCATTGCTGCACAGAATTTCTTTGTTGTGTTTATTCTAAGATGACGTATTTCATATCTTTGTTACTACAATTAAAAATACATACTGATATCTCCTTTGAAAACACAAAGGCATAAAGTTACAAATACCCGGAATCTAAATTCTTAACACAAATCAGTCAATATAATTTTGCAAGATAATTGTGATTGGAAATGAAATGGTTTTTGTTTTCTTGAAAGTAGGAAAGATCTTTTGATCTTACAATTTTGTATTTTTTTGGCTGTCCTTGAAGGTGACATAATCCCTTCCATTTGTTCCCTCACCATCTCTTAATCTCTTCCTCCCAAAATCTTGGTAAAGAGTATTGAAATATTGCCAAGTTGTTACCAAGAAATACAGTCCAGGTTGAACTGTAGTTAAAATTACGCAAGAGTTCTTCTAACTGTTAGAAAGAATTAAAGTTTCTCTTTGAAATAGCACAACTTTCTGACTTGCTTGTGTTTAGGTTCCTAGGTGTAAGTGTAACAACTAGGTCAATGTCTACAAACTGCTTCCATGAGTGTAAGTAGAAGCTCTGTTGTGCTATTCATATAAGTGAAATGCCACTGATGAGACAGGGAAGCTAGTTTTTGGAATTTACTTAAGTGAAAACATGTCAAACTAAAACTTTGCTTAGCTGAAATGTCAGGCTTCAACTAAGTCAAAAGAATTTACTGCTTGTGTAGCAGGTATCTAATAATTACAGTAGGCTCCCAAGTCTTGTTTAAGCAGCATAGAAAAAAAAATAATATTACATGATGTCATCAAGTCAGCAAAATATTTAGGTTGTTGAAAGCAATACCAATATGTATTTGTAGCCATGTGTTTTCTACCACTAACCCCCTTTCCCTCCCCAAAAAAATGACAGAAAAAGAAAAAAAAAAAAAGCCTTACTACTTCTTGGGGGGAATATTGGGCCTTAGAATTTGGATCTTCTGGTACCTGTATCACCATGAAGTATATTGTTACATTTAATGAAAAATGAATATACTTAGCCCTTACAGTTGCACACATGACTTGCAGAGTATTCTTACAGAATGTGGAATGTGTGTACTTCATATTTTGAAATATTTTTGAAGAAGAATAACTTAGGGTATCAGGTGTAAATTATGTTTTCCTGGAGACTAACTGGTAAGTCACATGCAGGCATTTTGTCTAAGTTTAATCAATGGTTATTTACCACTTTATGGTAGATGGAGAAAAATGTTTGCAGTAAACAGCTGATACAAAGAATGACTTAAAGCCAAGATCTCTTCAATGGGAAACTATTTTATTTGTTTTCTTAACCTTTGAATTTCTATTTAAAGGAATTTTACATCTCACAGTGAAAGAGTATAAGACACTAGTTTTAGGTAGCTAGTGTATACTTCTCCAAGCAATAAGCAATATTACTATCAAAAAGCAATTTTTTCCTCTTTTCTTCATATGCTGTACCAGTCTTGTATTTTACAATTCCTTGGTTCTCCAGCTCAAATAATTGCTAATTTTTGAATGGATGGGCCGTTTTGTGTGTGGAAGTATGGCTGGTGTTTATTAAACTTAGAGGCATCAAGTGATTGGCTGTTAATTTTCAATTTTGGGGGTTGTTTTCTGTAAATACAAAAATAAAATCTGTAAGCATGGTATTTTTCTGCATACCTCTGCTTACTGCTTCTTTGATAGATTTCTGTTTGATTAACTAATTCTTACTCTTTCTGCAACTGCATTTACCTTTATTTCCCTGCTACCACTCGTTCTTTTTCTCTTCCTAGTCTCATATTTTGTCTAACTTCCACTGAGAGAAGAAAAGGAGGAGTGAAGAGAGAGAAGAGGTAAGGGAAAGTCTTCCATGTTTTAATGGACTGGCATAGATATCTGAGGAGGAGAGAGCGATTTCCATTACTTCTTAGGAATACTCAGGAAGAGCGCTCTTGGACCAGATAGGAAAGGGAAGGTAGCCTACGGCCAGTGGAAACTAGCTCTTCTGTACAGCAGAAATTTTGCTGACACACTGATTCTGTTTTATACTTAAAAGAACAGCTTTCTTTCCACTGACTAGAGTTGGTGTAATGCTTGTAATGACCTGTGTACTGAAGAATTGGTACTTACACAATGGAAACCCAAGGTTTTTTTATGCATGAATCTTGAATACTATGGAGAAGGCAGATTTTTTTTTTTCCTTCTTTGTTCTAGATCCCAAACTGAACACTTAATTCATGATGTTTGGCTGTGATTCCAAATATGACTGAGAGTTTTTTTGAATGTAAAATCCTGCATTTATTGTATCAGGATGTTAATAAGTATGCTAATGAACTCTTTGCTTGTTTGTACTCTGTTGGCACTGAATTAAATGCAAAACAGTAGGAGGAGCCTTACTTTGTAGTAGTTTGGCTGTAATAGCCATGTTTCTTAAATAAGTTTGTCTAATGATCACTAGATCTCTGTCACTACAACTAAGAACTTAAACCGAAAATGTGATAGTTAGCAACTTAGTACCCTTGAGATCTCTGAAGTCTAATGAAAATCCAAAAAGGGATGGAAAGGGGCAGCTATGAGTAGTGTCCTGGAAGAAACAGTGAGAGGCAGCATAATGATTGTAGCCATTATCTGTCATATGTGTAACTCCAAACCAGCCATTGCAGGGCTTTTTTTTCTTTTCTGACTGACAGGACATGTGAGGAGGAGGTGAGATGGACCTGAGTGCTGACAATGTTGTAGGCCACTGTGGATGGCATAGGAGGTTATTGAGGGGCCTTTGGGTGAGGCCAGGACCAGTTAATATTGTGATGAAGAGGAAGGGGAGGAAGGTACTGCTATGACAGGGATGTAGAGAATATTAGGTCAGTGGGAATGTTTGAGCATAAACTACAAATACATAGGAAACCAGTTTTAGAACAATTTTTTTTCTTCTGTGTGATTTGCAGGAGTTAGTCTTAATGGGTCCTAATTTGTATATTGTATTTGAGTGTGCCTACGGTGTCTTATTTTTACCTACTACCCTTTTTTGTCTCGAAGTCGATTTCTGACTTACCTGTTAGGTTGCCATAGAGAGCAGCAAACAGTAGCAAAGGTCTGAATTTGGACTTAGAGTTGTTTCTAGGCCTGAATACGTCATAGTGCAACTGCAGTGGTATAACATTTGGAAGTTGGAAGTCCCTCCTAATCTCTTAGCAAAATCTTTACCGTAGTGGAGCATGTCGGGGGAAATGGAGAAAGAACTTCTTTGTGGGTTAAATTAGTCATTTATTCATGTATTCTGCTTCTGGGTCTGATTAAAGATGTGTTATCTCCTTAGAAACAGCCAGCAATAAATAAATACTCAGATTACTTTGATATATGTATTTATGCTGTGTATATATATGCTGCATATATTTTTTCTGGATTGCTTTGTGTATAGATACATACATCTCTATATATACACATACGTGCAAATGTAGTTCACTATTTGGAGGATATCTGGAGTATACTGTTAAAATGTCAGTTCTATTGATACTTTTCCAAATAACTTGTATAGTGAAGACACGAGTGCTCAGAGCAATAGTAGAAAGTAGAAGTGTAGCAAAGCATATAATTTGTTATTTTTTTGTGAAATCTTCTTAATGTTTTCTTCTCTCTTCTCATCTAAGCCCCTTCCTCTAATTTAAAAAAAAAAAAAAAGAAAAAGGAAAAAAAAAAAAGGTTGTATGCAGGGAAGCCAAGTAGGAAACCTCAGTTTATTGGCTCTGACGGTTCAGAATGGTAGTTTTTGTCCTGGATTTGTGGACTATGTCAGTGTAGTGATAGGAGCATTTTTACTTAGAAATTTCTCCTGTATACATTGTGTTAGGACGTAGGTGTATCAAGTTTTCTTAGGTCTGTTCTTGTGGATTTATTTCTCTGTGGGAGGGGTGGTTCCCATGAGCGCAGGTTAAAATTGTTGGCCTGTAAATCTGAAGGAAAGCATGACAAGAATTGCTTTTGCTAATGATTGCAAAACATGTATACACATATGATGTAATCGGGGGAGGGAAGAGGAAAATGTTTCGATTGTATGCTCAATAAAAGGCAAATTACGCATAGAACATGTTTTTAAGTGTTTGTCCTCTAAATTGTTTTTCCCTTTTTTGTGGTGTGTGTAGTAGGCTTGATTCGATGTCTCCCAATTGCAAGGTACTTAACTACGTTTCTGTGTGCTATATTGGGTACCAGCACTTCAAATATGTTTTTATCCACCTCCCTTATAAATAAAGCATTTTTAAGAGGGAGAAAGGCCCCAGCACACCTCATAGACTGTTTCTCCTGGTGTGGTAAGAAAATCAGAGTCCTATCTTTTGGTCGTCATCTGTCTCTACTACCTGAGACGACTTGTATAAACAACTAACACCAAGTTCAGCAGGAGTCAGCAGAGGTCTGAAAGCAGTAGTATGATCTTGGAAATCTTTGCATCTTGCCCAAAAGACCCCATTGGGGTAGGAAACTGTAGTTTCAGAGTGATCCTTTGTGACTGTCTGGAGCTAGCCTGGACCCACAGTAGCATGAATTTTGTACTGGGAGCAAATGGAAGTTGGAGTTTTGGGTTGGGTTTAGTGCTGTCTGAGTACAGGTATGTTGCTTTTACATTCAAATGGACTTGAAATTACAAGCAGATTAGCATCTTGTGCTTGTTGAACTGAAAGGTCTTGCTTGACTCCAGACTGTCATGTAATTAGTTTGTGTATTTTATGTCTGAATCATTTTTATCTGTAAATCTGATAAATCAACCCTTTGTCTTCTTCCTTGGTCCATATATGAGTGGAAAATTGGCTGTAGGGATGAGTTTGTTTCAGGAATTTCATCTGTTTGTTCCAGTAAGCTTCAAGTTAATTCCCTTAGATTTGTACACATGCTTTAAAAATGAATCTATATGTATACTGGGTATATTCCGATACTTAAATACTCCTCCAGGAAATTGTTAACTTATTTTTTGCCTGTAGTTAAAGTGTGTGAGGCAATGGGTTTACTAGTACTCTTAGTTTAGCAAAAGACAGCCTCTTCTGTACTTGGGGAAAATGATGCCCAGGGAAGTAGTTGAGTCATCATCCCTGGAGGTATTTAAAAGATGGGTAGATGTAGTGCTTAGCGATATGATTTAGTGATGGTTTTTGTCAGTGTTAAGTTGACGGTTGGACTAGATGATCTGAAAGGTCCCTCCCAACCTAGGCAATTCTATGAAATAAGCTCTGCTTAAACATGGGGTGAACTGCCCATTTCTCCAGAAGTTGGGAAACACAGGCTGTAACTTTTCAGGAGATGTGGTAATTCATGATAATTTTTCGGGAGTGATAATTATTCTCAGATGTTTCAGTTAATCAGTTTACTAAATATGGATAAATTTATCACTTTCACATACTTTGTAATATGTATTTAAAGTTATATCATTTTGCTTTTAAGGAAAGACACTTGGCATATGTAGGTAGGTTAGAAGGTCTTGATTAATTTTTCCCTCTACTTGTGTAGATTTTGTATATAGACCTTGTGAAGATGCAGAGCAGACAGAGTACAGAGGTAGTAATTTGGTTAGTATATTAATCTTTCTGCAGTGACACTAGTTAAGGACTTTGAGGTAAAGTTGCATGTATCACTATAAAATCTAAATAGTGATTTACTTAAATCAGCCCTGTCCTCTTGTGAAATACTCAGACTAATTATAGGCTGATCTAATATTTTTTTTTTTCCCCCCTTAAACTTTTGCTCTGCTTTTACGGAGGCCCTGGTAATTCTCTCTGAAGAAGCATTCGGTGTTGAAATCTCCAAGTCTTGAAACATCTAAACTATGTAACTTTTTTTTTTCCTATTTTGTAATCGTCAATAGGTGGTGACTTATAGAGGCAATTGCTAGAAAATATCATTGAAGAACTTCAGGTGGATACTGAAGTCATAAAAACAGGAACAAAAAGACTTAATATTTTTGTAGTGCTTAGTGATGTGAGAAAATTGAACTAATTTAGCAAATGACTTACACAAACCACTAAACTAATTTTATATGTGGAAAATTCTTATATTTGGGCTAAGAAATAATTTAGTCAAAAGCTTAATTCATGATTTCCCTGATGCCCTTTTATAAATTAGAAAAAAAATATATTGCACATTGCTTTGTATTCTATTCCTCACTTTTATAGTAGATTTTTTCCTTAACTTCTTAACGCTTTTTTGTCTTTAGTGTCTATGGTATGACAACAGAATCTGGAGATTTATTTATAGGGAAGGAAAGACAAGGAAAAATTACATTTCTGTGCGAAAAAGCCATCATATGTACTAAAAAGACTAGTAAAAACAGGTTTCACTAATTTTTTCCACTCTTTAGTTTTTGTAGTGTTAGGGGTAAACGTTAAAAAAAAGCCAAACCAACCCCCCCCCCCCCCC